ATTCTTTTTTGATTTTACCGACTAACAAAATTGAACACACGTTAAATGTATTTAATTCGTATAATTCTAATCTCCAATTTACACATGAGATAGAAATGAACAATCAAATTAGTTTTCTCGATGTACAAATCATTAGAAGTGCAGAAATATCGGAGAAGATGGGGATCCCATCGGTGTCCCAAAGTTTTGTTTATAAAATAAGTTATTAAAGGTGAAAAAGGTTGACCCTAGTAAAAGTTTGAGACCGATCTGAAATTCATTCCATGGTACTTTACATTTGTCTTCTATAAAGTTCCATCTGTTTTTTATACTCTGTATAATGCAATCTTCCGGGACGTTCGTAAAAAGAGAAGTTACATCAAAAGACACCAAGATTGCATTTCATGATAAAAATCTGAAAGTAGTTACAAAGATTTTGCAAAACAATTCTTATCCTCTCACTTTTATTAAAAAACATATCAGAAAAAGACTCGCAGTTTTAAATAGTAATACTAATAACAGTTTGTGCCCAACAATAATTGAACCGGAAGTTACCCTTACAATTCCATACACTAACAGTTTTACTAAACAACTAAACACCAAACTCAAAAATTACAATATTCGCACGGTTAATTCCATTAATAATAAACTAGATCATATTGTTACACGAGGAAAGGATAAATTGCAAAAAGTTGATAACACCAATGTCGTTTATCAGATATACTGCTCGACTTGTCCTGCAAACTATATAGATCAAACAAAAAAGAAATTAAGTACACGCATAAAAGAACAACGAAATAATATAAATAGTTTTCCCAAATATCATAATGTAATTACAAAACATCGACTCGACCATCCGTCGCATATTATAAATTGGGATAATGTTAAAATTAAAGATAGGGAAACTTGTTTATCAAAACGCCTCACCTCTGAAATGGCTCACATTAAAGCTAATTCACATACATTGAATTTACAAACAGATACTGATAAGTTTCACGACCTATATCTACCTGCGCTCATTTAATTTTCTTTCCTTTGTATGAACAAAAATCAGTCTCAATCGACGTTTCAACTGACTAACTTGTCTTCGTTTTGTCTCACGTTTTTGTCACAGTGTTTGTTTAGTTTGTTTTGATTGTTGGCTATATTTATTTATGTGAAAACCATTAACTATGTAACTATGTTTCCATTTTTTACTGATGGTGAGTTTAGATGATTTTAAATTATTGTTATCTTATTGTAATGAATCAGAATTGTAATTTCGTATTGTTTATTTGTAGACCTGAAGATGATCAAAAACAATGATCGAAACGTCGTCATTGTAATGTTATAAAAATAGAGAGTATCACAAATAAAATTTGGTCTGTAATTGGCGAAATTAACTTCGTTTTCTTTCTATATGNAATACTATCGTGAAAACAGCAATTCTCTATTTTTAAAATTAAGGGAGATATCCCGCAAAAGTGCCAAAAATGGATACTCTGTACTTACACTTAGTGTATTAAATACATTTTAAGCGGTATTACTACGCTATGCAATTGGTCGCATAATTTGACGGCTCATAAATAACCCCGAATTTTTGAATAAGTTTATACCTCTTCTACATTTTTCCTCTTTTTTTCGCATCGCTTAATTATGCGTTGAGAAAAAGATACGTTTGTAACAATTATTTTATCAGATTATACCTTACCTGAAAAAAGGAATGTTTACGTCCCTTTCCAGAATTTCCTAATGAAGATACATTGTTGGAATTCCCTAAGCCACCAGAAAGGACAGCCAAATTAGATACTTCCTGATCATCCAAAGATTCTGTTTCCATTGCTACCGGTATATCTTCTTCGCCCTCGTCATTTTCATTTTCATCCTAAAATAAAATAAAACCTATGAATTCACTCTACAAGAAACAATTTTAAAAACCCTAATATAATTGCATCGGAAATTACCCACCTCCCCTAGTCCTAGTCCAAACCTCAGTTTATGAACCAACCACCCTTACAGGTTTATTCTACTTAACCTACCAGTATAAGCGCTGTTTTAAATGAATGGTGAAATAAATATAAATTAACAGTTGGATTCGTTTTGAATTTTTAATAACAAAAACTCTTAAGCATTATAGTTCTAAATTTCAAAATATAAAAATCAGTTAAGAAAAAATAAATTTATTCCACGTTTATAATTAATTTTATATCACCTCAATTATTTTGAGACTAGAAAATCCAACATAGTGTATAAATTCACAAATAATGAATGACCAAGTTCTGCAGAAATTCTTCATTGTTTCCAAAGTATCAGAAATAAAACATTTAAAAAATAAAAGAAATCAAAGTCGAAAGTTTACCTGATCATTCCACGAGGGTAATGCTAATCCTTCTCTGAGATTATCGCTATCAGAAGAGTCAGAATTTCCTGATCTCATATAATAGATTAATGCATCAAATACATAAGCTACATGCTTCAATGCAGACACATCAAGGATAGGAAGAGAATCCAAATGTTCACTGTTATGAGCCCTCATTAACGAAAGACAGTAGGATAAAAATTCCCTTCTGGCTGAATGAGCGTCCACACCTACTATATATATATATATACTTTTATTATAAGTACAGATAACTATTATACCATTTTTACCTTCTCTTTCTTGTCTCGTCCGATTTGTTTCTAAATTTGTCGTAAACCCAATTATCCGCGTGCCTCCAGAATTTGTGTTTGAAAAACCATGAGAACGACCTGATAATCGATTTGAAGGAGGTTGTACTTCAGATATTATACCCAATGACAGTCCCGGTTGTATTTCCGAATGTGTCAAGGAGGCCCCAAATCTCAATTGAGCCTCAGTGGCATCCATAACTGTTAGAAGCCAATCCCAGGTGGCTTTCAAACGAAATTCTAAATAAATCTAAAACACAAAGCTATGAAATATTTTATAAAATAACAACGATTTTCAATAAATACCTGAACATTATAAATGTCATCTTGAGTAACATCTATATGAGCAAATGTACTTGGCATTATATGAAGATCTTGCATCAAAGACAGCAGTTCTGCTATCTGTCTAATTATAATACCTACAAGGAAAATAAAAATGTGCATTTCAGTATAACTTAACTAGAAGCAAGTATCCTGCTTAAAAAATAAAATAATATATAGCTGCACCTTTAATAAATATTGAAGAGAACTGAAATTAAAATTTTATATTTAGATATTTAAAAATGTCATGGGGGCACAAAAATCGAGAGGCGGACCATGGGCGGACTTTATTACATTCATATTACACGAAATATAATTGAGTGCCGTGGAACAACAACTAAGCCACAAATTTGTGGAATTTTGGGTTTTAAATGTTAATTTATATTCATATTGTACATTTCTAAAAACCTTGACTCGACTTAAACAGATGTAGATGTACAAATCAATGAATTATTTCTACCTAAAATGATTTTACTGCTTGAGTGAGCGGTAACACAATAGCGAGAAAACAAAAACAATGGAATTTGGAGACAAAGGGTAGAAGAAAAAAAAAAAGAAAACTTGAGGCTTATATTGGAAGAAGGTATGAGAATAAAACTTTGAATAAGTACAGTAAGATGATAGGTGTAAAGATAGAGTATGTATGTTTAAAAGTATCTTGAAAAAAAGAAGGGAAAGAAAAAAGATGATGTGAGGATAATATAAGAAAGAAGGGTAGGGTGGGTAATTTAAGCTTAAAACTTAGAAAGGAAAATTTTTGAGTTTAGTTGTTATTTAGGTTTACAATATAAAGAAAGTTTGTTGTTTTTTTTTTGTCAAAATCCTAGAATGTGACTATGTTTTAGTTAATATTAAAAAGATGTTTTTATTTTATTGTAACAGCAATGAAAGTAGGTAGAAATTTATTGTTTGTATATTTGTGTGACTATAACTTTTTTAGTTGAGTAAACGGCTAAAATATACGATAAAATATAATACATAAATGCCCTTAATAAAGCCCGATAATTAAAAACAAAACGTTGGCAGTATTTTTTACGAAATAAACAACTTTTACCCCATTTTGGCTTTGATTACTGATGTGTGCATGTATAAAATTAAAATGTATAAAGCTATGTGGTATTTCTACAAATTCTAATTTGAAAATCAGCCTGATTTCTGAATGTTTTGACGTATATATACAAGGAACAACCGGTATATGCTTTTGCCCAAGTCCGCTTGTGTTCCGATATGGAAATTAAGAGGGAAGCATGTACTATAGAAGCTGGCCCAGGCGATTTTTTAAAATCCACTACTACAACTAAGTAATTAAAATAATATGAGCATAATTTTATTCTAACAGTTATACGTTTAGGTATAATATTATCTATTAATAGGAGTTTTTTAAGTAATTACCGTTTTGATCAGTGAAAGATTTACGCCTAGGCCCCTCAAGCCGGCAAAATTTTTGAAATACCAAAATTTTAGAGGCGAAAAAAAGTAAAGACAATCCATTTTAAAAATTAGTTCAGATTAGTTGTTATAAAAAAAAGTTCTATAGAATATATTATAATTCAATTTGTTAATTTACTTTTCAATCTATGGGTAAGATGTTAATATTTTAATAAGTCAATTATAGTCTTTATCAAGTAATGTTTTTCACTTTCTATATCTTCACTTTTTGTTCCTTTAGTGAGATTAATCTTACCATATTAAGTGTAACAAAGCATTTTGAAATTACTAAATCTGAATAACTTCTCAATTTGTTTTCAGTGTGAAACAGAGCTACGTTAGATTTGCAATGAATATCATTTTATACTTATTCAAAAGTCAGAACATTTTTTGTTTATAAAAATAATTTTTCATTAAAAATCCCACCTTTTTTCATATTTAATTTTTTGAATCATCAAATTAATTGAAAAAAAAAAAATTTTCATCTAAAACCCAAAAAAAA